CCAGAATGCAGTTTAGAAGCAAAGATGGTGAGACTTCATCTTTGGACATGTTATCAGGAGGAACCAGTCCCTAGAGAAGGACATTACGCTTGGTAAACTAGAGGATCAGTGACAGAGAGATGGATTGACACAGGGGTTGCAACAATGGACTCAAACTTAGCAAAGATTGTGAGGATGGCACAGTATCAAGCAGTGTTTCCTTCTGTTGTACAGAGGGTCACTATGAGTTGGAGCCCACTCAACGGCACCTAAATAACAACAACAACATGGCAAAAGATGTGATTAAGTTAAAGATCTTGAGAGAAGGAGTTTATCCTGGACTATCTGGATGGGCCCTAAATGCAAGCACATGTGTAAGAGATAGGGAGAGGGAGTTTTCACATAGAGACAAAGGAGCGGGCAATGTGAATATGAAAGCAGAGATTGGAGTTATGTGGTTACAAGTCAAGGAATGTCAAAAAAAACATGGAAGAGATGAGGAATTGTTTCTCCCTTAGGCCTTAGGAGTGAGTGTGGGCCCTGCCGACCATTTACTTTAGACTCTGGATTCCAAAACTGTGAAAGAATAAATGTCTGTTGTTTCAAGTTGCCATGTTTGCGTTAATTTGTTGCAGCACAAACTATAACTTTCCCCCGTAAGAGCTAAAACTATGCTGATTATTATCATTATCTTTCTCTTGATTTTTAAACATAATTTTATAACATACGTATATATCTCTAAAGAGTCTAATGTTTAATTCTGGAGCACTTTCTTATTCATGTATGTATCCCCTGTAGTGGATATAGTACAGATCTTGGCACATTGTAGATGCTGCATCCTGACTCAAGAATTTCTTCTTTCCTCCTAATCCTATTCTCCTCTTGGATGACCTCCTAGCTATCTAGTCCATCACTTCAAGAAATCAAATCATATTCAGCTACATTCTTCTTGAGGAATCCCTTCTTACTGCCAAATTTTGGATTCTCCACCCAGCCTAGACTCTGTAATTTATCATGCGGATCATTCTTTCACCATTAATCTCACTCTCCTGACCCATTGTTTTTTCACTGAAATTGTGTCTTCAACATTGTACCCTAAATTCTAACACACTAAACTATTTGGCACTCTCTGAATATAGCTTGCTTTTTTACATCTCCCTGCCTTTGCTTACGTTGTCCCTTCTTCCTTGATTGCCTTCTTCATCTCCTCTTTTATAAATTAATCTAGCTAACTCACATTTGTGCTTTTACAGACATTTCAAAAAGAAGAAATCCAAATGGCCAATAAAGTATCTATTTTTCCATTACTAAGGAAATGTAATGGGATACCATTACAGTCCTACTAAAGTGGCTAAAATGTAAAAGACAAAAAATACCATTATAGTCCAATAAAAATGGCTAAAATAAAAAGATGGAGAAAACCAAGACTGGTCAGGATGTGGAGCAAACTCTCAATACTGCGGGTAGGAATGTAAATTGGCATAATCCTTTGGTAAAGGGTTTTGTAGTATCTAACAAAGCAGAATGTATCACCAAGCAATTCTACTATTAGGTTTACACCCAATAGAAATGTGTGTGTTTACTTACTAAAGGACATATGTCTTAGTTACCTAGTGCTGCCGTAACAGATGTACCAGAAATGGGTGGCTTTAAAGAACAGAAATTTATTTTCTTACAGATCAGGAGGTTAGAAGTTCAAATTCAGGACCTCAGTTGTGTCAATTCTTTTCTTGTTGATAGCCCTGGGTGTTCATTTGTTCCTTGGCTTGTAGACAATCTTCACATTGCATCTGTCTTCTCCAGTATGTGCCTGCACGTCTCTATATCTAAGCTGCTCTTTATATAACAGAGAAGTGATTAGGTTTTGGATCCACCCTACACTGGTGTGACTTCAACTGATTGATTACATTACATTGGATTGCTTTATGGAAAGTGATTGCATTACATTACATTACTCTACACTATACTATAGTACCCTATACTACATTACATTACAATATACTATGCTACATACACTACATTACATGACGTTACATCCACAGGAATAGGGGTCAGGTTTTCAACATCTATTCAGGGAGAACATGATTCAATCCATAACAACGTGTTTCAGAATGTTCATAGCAGCACTATTGGTTATAGGCAAAAACTAAAAGCTATCCTGTTGTTGTTAGGTGCTGTTGAGTTGCCACTGATTCATAGCAACCTTAGGAATAACAGAACAAAGAGTTTTCCAGTCCTGTGCTATCATCATAATCTTTGGTATGTTTGAGTCAATTGTTTTTGCTATTGTGTCAATCCATCTCACTGAGAGTTTCCTTAGTTTTTGCTGACTCTCTAATTTACCAACCATGATGTACTTTTCTAACCATTAGTCTTTCCTAATGAAGTGTCCAAAGTAAATAAACTGAAGTCTCGCCATCCTCACTTCTAAGGAACACTCTGGTTGTATTAATTCTAACAGTAATTTGTTCATTCTTTTGACCATCCATGGTATATTCAATATTCTTTGCCAACACCACATTTTAAATGTATTGATTCTTTTTCTGTCTTCTTTTTTCATTGTTCAGCTTTCACATGCATATGAGGCTATTGAAAAGGTCACAGATTGCTTCAGAATACCCTTAGTCATCAAAGTAACATCTTTTGCTTTTAAAACGTTAAAGAGATCTTTTGCAGCAGATATTCCCAATGCAATATGTTGTTTGATTTCTCAACTGCTGCTTCCATGGATGATGATTATTGATCCAAGTAGAATGAAAGCATTGACAACCCTGCCACACACTTTTTGCCAATTCTGAACCAAAAAACTAATGCTCATAAAAAGTATGATGGGCAAAGATTTTGTGGTATATTCACATAGTGGAGTGCTATATAGCAATGAGACTTACTAATCTATAACTACATATAAAAATATGGATAAATCTCACAAACATAATGTTGAATGAAGGACGCCAGACACAAAAGGACTCACGGTGAATGATTTCATATGGATAAATTTAAAAAAGGACAAAACAAAGTCAGTATAGTAGATTTTCTTGTGAGTTACAGTTCATGAAAAGGAGCTTAAGGGAGGATTCTGAGGTGGTGGTAGCATTTTCATTTTCATTGAGTTTAATGTACTTTTTAATTTCCTTGAGACTTCTTTTTGTTTTGTTTTGTTTTCAAGGAGGTTTTCTTGTTATGTTTCTGTTATTGATTTCTAGTTTGATTCTATCGCAGTTGAATAACACAGTATATATGATTTCAACTCTGTAAATTTGTTGAGATTTGTTTTCTGGCCCAGGATATGATCAACATGGAACTTGAAAAGAATGTGTATTCCATGGACACTTGAAAATAATATGTAGTCTCCTGTTGTTGGGTGGAGTGTTCTATAAATATTAATTAAGTCCTATTGGTTGATAGTGTTGTGTTCTTCTATATTCTTGCTAATTTTCTGTCTAGTTGTTCTATCAGTTGTTGAGAGAGGGTGTTGAAGTCTCCAACTATAATTGTGGATTTGTCTATTTCTCCTTTGAGTTCCATTAGTTTTTGCTTTACATACTTTACAGTTCTGTTATCTGGTGCATAAATAGCTAGAATTTCTACGTCTTCTTGGTAGATTGACACTTTTATCATTGTATAATGTCCCTCTCTCTCTCTGGTAATTATCTTTGCTCTGAAATTTATTTCATCTGTTATTAATATAGCCACTCCTGCTTTCTTTTGATTAATGTTTGCCTGATATAGCTTTTTCCATCCTTTTGCTTTTAACGTGCCTAAATTGCTATATTTGAAGTGAATTTTTTGTAGATAGCATATAGGTGGGTCATGTTTTTTAATCCGCTCTGCCAATCTCTGTCTTTTAATTGGTTATTTAGACCATTTATATTTAATGTAATTGATATATTTCATCTTAAGTCTAACATTTCAGTTTTTGTTTTCTGTTTGGGTTACTTGAACATTTTTAGAATTCCATTTTTATTTTTCTATAATGTTTTTGAATGTATCTCTTTGTTTTTAGTGGTTTCTCTGAGTATAATATACACATAACTTATCATAATCTACTGGTGACAACATTTTGGATAAAGGATATACTTCAGAAAATTTTAGGTAAAATAGTTAAAGATCAGTTAGGTAAAACTTGAAGACTGTCTTTTATTTTGCCCAAGAATATCAGTTTTTTTCTCACATAGTCTAGATCAAAGTAGACATGTCTGACCAATGGTGAAAATTCAGGAACTAATTAGGAATATGCTTTCTCCTCTTTATATGACATTTAAGCATTTTAAATGTTAGTTCTGGAATAATTTTAGAAGTATTGGTTGTTTTAATTTAACCAAATTAGATTATACCCTCATAATTATAAAAACTAAACGTAGAAATATATGAAGTTCTAAAATTTCTTACAGGTTATCTAATACCAAACCTCCACTTAGTGCAGACACTGTAAAGGTTAACAGTAGGAAAGACACTGGTTGGAGAGTAAAAAAAAAAAGACTATTTCTGTCTTTATTATGTGGAAATCTTGAATGAGAAAATGTCTCTCTAGGCTTCCATGAAAATAATTGAATATAATATTTTCAGGACTTCCTGCCAGTTCTAGTAACCAATTTACATAATAAGGTAGAAGAAACTTTGGGAAAGCCAAAGCAAGAATTGGAAATGCAGTAACATAAAATAAATTGTGATTGGATGGAGTGAGAGTATTAGTTACCTTATAAAGACACATTTATATGACTCAATTCATTGTACCCACCTTGGGTGAAAATTATTTTCAGAATGGAAAATCTATCTTCTGCTGATAAGCTTCCAATCCTTCTTACCCTTGAGGAATAGTACTCTGGGCACTGGCTGGCAGGAGCAAGGATTGTAATCTCATTAACACTCTCTTTTTATCTTTGTCTAAGACCACACTTAAAGAGGTTGTCTGGGCAGTATCTGTCATATTTGAAGCCATAATTAATCTGCCTCTAATTGAGCAATTTGTGATTACAACATCTTCTTGGCTGTTTTGAACAGAGCGTGCTCCACTGATAGTTACCTCTGTAAGGAGCTGGGATCAATCTGAAACTTCCAGGACTTGAAGACAGATCCTGAGACGTCAGTAAACTGGTAATGACTATTAATCTATTTGCAGATTCTGGGTCAGGACATCTCAGTGAGACACGGGAAATATTTGGAGGTACAAAATCTTAAGTGTTGTTGAAGAATGTTATGCTTTGATTCTTTAAGTCAAGCAAGAGAAGAGTATAATGTGACTATGCCTGATGGAAAATTTACATTGTGGAATTATCTAAGCATATTCTGATGAGTGTCTTTGCTTTCAGAAAGCTGTAGCATTTAGAAAGCAGGCATTGCTATTTGATTCTCAGTGAGAGGAGCTATCACAAGTCTGCATTAGGAAAAGGCTAGTAATAGATAGAACTATGGACTTAAGAGAATTTTCCTTTGGTTTGTGTCTCTAGGGGTTTGGGAAATAATGTTTGGAAAACGTTTTAAAAAATTGTTTATCATTTTCAAAGGGCCCTTTATTGTCTCATTCCAATGGTTTTGAGCATAAATATTCATTTCTATGTGCAAGGTCATTTGTAGGGGAATGTGGGGCCAAGTGACTGGACTCACTGTATTAAGTGACATTGCTGCCTATGGAAATTATGAACACTCTTCTAATAGGTTCTGAAGGACCCACCATTCTCCTTTCTGAGGCTTTGTAATAAATAGTCTTACTGGGTGAGGAGTGAAAAAGTGGTTGCATTAATTTGAATAGTATTTAAGAGTAATGTGCTCCTTTAACCCTCATAATTTCAGACCTGTATTCGAGGCTTGGGACACGAGGAGGAGCCAACCTGACTGAATAACACTCCCCTAGGCAAAGAGAGGTTAAATGCTTGTTCTTTGATTCTATATGTAAAAGCCAAAAAGTTGCTATTTTGGGGTTTTGGGTTTTTTTTGGCTTGTTTTCACAAAGTATTTATGCTTTTTCTGTTTCCAGAAATAATAAATCAGTTATTAGTAGGCTTTATTCATGTCTGTTTAAAGAAACCAATTTAAGAACCACAATCACATTATCACACTTAGTGCTTTATACTGGAAATATGATAGTATAAAACTAAATTTGGGGATAAGAAAACAATGATAAAGGAGTCATTTTATTATAACAAAATTTGCTTTAATATTTCTTCACTGGCCTGCTATTTTGTGAAAAAATTGAGGGGGAAATTATTTTCTTCATGGTTCCTTCTTTATTTTATAATTTTGTCTTATTTTCAATATTTGTATGACTGTTTAAGCAACAATATTTTATGGCCTATTTTGCCAAGCAGAACAAGTACTTTAACCTTGGTATTGTAGAAGAGATGCATTTGCTATTCATTTTTCTTTGCTCCCATGGATGTTTTATTCCCCATTCATCTTAAAACTGTGTTTTCTGCTGCCTCTAGGCATAAAGCATAGAGCTATTGGCCTCTCACCTTATTTGAAGATCCTAAGTTGCCTAGTCCTTCTTGATCCAAAGTGGTTTAATACCCAAATCTGAAATTTACTGGCCTGTATATTCTATTGTGTAAATATTTCCTTTCATTTACTTGTTAATAGTCTCCTCACTGTTCCTTATTCATTAAGTCTTTCACTCTGTGGGTAGGGGAATTCCAGAAAACAGAAGCAATTTAGATCTAGATTCTGACTGGCTGTACTACTACGTAGTTGTGTAACCATGTGAGTCATGGTTCTTGGGTAAGAGATTGTGAATATCTGTGTGAGGACTTTGAGGTAGTGGTAAGACAGAAACTAAATTTTTGTAAACACCTCAATCTGTTTTAGATTGAAAACATCGGGTAATAAAGGGGAAAATGGAAACGTGGCAGGTGTCAAAACTTTCTAATTGACAGATAACAGTATTCTAGCAAACCCTGTGATGTATATGTATCACTGCCGACATTTCTGTATTAAGCAAAAATGCCAGGGAACTGCTGAAATATTTATCACAAGGTGGAAATATTAAAACTTGAGTACTTTGCCTCATAAGAAGGCTCTTAAAGTCCTTATTCAGAGGTCATTGAGATAAAATTTACATGTAATAATTTATAAATGTCTCAAGCTATTTTTTATTATAGAGTAATTCAAGCTAATAAAGTCATTTAGGAAAATATATAACCAATAAACAAATTTATAGAAGGTGGAAAATTTTTATTCCTAGTACCCAAATATAATCATTATCATTTTAGTATAATCCTCCCAGACTTTTTAAAGCTCATACTTTTTTTGTTTGAGCTTTTTTTTTAAACAATGTAATAATATATGTAACAGTTGCTTAAAAATTGTTTTTACTTCTAAATCCTCATATTCATTTTTAAAAACTGTAAATTCTTTCAAATTTTTAGGTTGATACATACAATTTTTTATCATAATTTTAAATAGTTGCAAAGAATGGAGTTCATAGTTCATTGTATGTATTTACAGTTTAACATTGTAAATTGGATCAAATGGAATAGGATTTGATACCTAATATCATTCATTTTATAAATCTATTTAGTGGATGGGAATTATATATATATATTTTCCTTCAAATCATGTTCCTATTCTACTTTTTCCTACAGGTTTTTTTCCACCCTAACATAATTTATTCATATGTTTAGAAGTCTTTTAATTTTATTGATCAATTAATCCTTCTTTATGAAACTGAAAAGGATATATACATTGAAATTTAAATTGTTTTCAATTCCTGTGACCATAAGGTTATATTTTCTTTTAATTTGTCATTGCAATTTTTATTAGTAAACAATCAATCATAAATATTTTAAAAGTTTGATGAATAATTATTAAGCCTTAAAGTAAAATTTTATTAGCAATACATCACTTAATGACATGAATGAGCTTTTCTTTTTAATTTATGCATCCAGTGATGAATATTATTTATTGATAGAATGATAGAATTTATTGATAGCATTCAGCATCATTTTTCCCAATATTTTTGTTAGATATAAGTGCTGAGGAACCATGTTTACATAAAGCCACTCAATTCTTTGAACTGCTTCTGAAGCTATAGGTCACAAATCACATAGTGACACACCATCCAAAATTACTTTTAATGATCTATCTGCTTACAATTCAAGTAGATCCTTGTTCAAGTTTTGAAAGCAAAGAATTGGAAACCCCTGGATTTGCAGAAGTTAATTGCCCTTGGGAAAGTATTACTACTTTATTAAAGTTATTCCCTTTCCCAATACCATTAACAATATTACCAATTGTATCTTTGTTAGGAGTTCAGATTTTTTTACAACCTGGGACAATTCATCATGGCAAGATTCAGGCTAGGAGACAGTTAGGACTTCCCTTTATAAAGTAGAGAAAGAAAGGGAGAACCTGCTTGTAGCCAGAAATTCTCAGGCATATCAATTTTAGGAAAGAGAACATATGAGAGTCAAAGATCTGGAAACTCATTCTTTAAAAACTATTCACGTGCCAATGTATTCCTTGGCAAGGCATTGCATATCCTTGTATGAAGATCACTGTTACATACAATTCTTCCTTGCAACAACATTTTTTTTTTTTTTTTGCCATTTGACATGTATTGATATTTCTCATGTTACTATACAGTATTCATAAACATTTGAATGGCTCATTGATATTGGATTAACATATTTAAGCATTCTTTCATAATTGAAAATTTGTTTTAAATTTGTATTTACTATGTATAGCAAGCTTAAAAGCAATTTTGTACAAAAAGATTTGCCCCACTCAAATTCAAGATTTTCTCTCTTAGCATAAATCTATTAAGTGGAATTTCTGAGACATAAGATATGGGTTTAAAAAAACAAAACTCCTGGTAAATATGGCAATACTGTTTTCCAAATGAGTTGTGCCAATTTATGACAACGCTAGTATTGATTGAGAACACCTCTTTTGCAATACAGTTTCCAGGATTTTCTTGTTTGTTTTAAATTGAGATATAATTACATTCAGTAAAATCCACAGATCTTAAGTGTACAGTTTAATGAGTCTTGACAATCAACTTATTCAAGATACAGAGCACTGCCATCACCCTAGTGTTTCCTCTTGTACCTTTCCAGTCAACACTCAACCAAGCAATCACTATTGTGATTTCTATCCTATAGATTAATTGCGCCTGTTCTTTATCTTCATAGAAATGGAATTATAGCGTATGCATTCTTTTGTGTCTGGACTTTTTTCATTCAGCTTACTATCTGAGAAATTCCTCCGTGTTGTTACATATGTCAGTAAGTAGCATTCGATTGTCTGAATATAAATAACACAAGTGCGTACTCGTTTGACTATTGATGGCCATTTGATTTCCAATAGTTTGCTATTATAAATAAAGTTTCAATGAACAATTTTGCAATAGCTTTTATTTGAACAAAAATTACCTTTTATTTTGAGTAACTATCTAGTAGTAGAATTTTAATCTCAGCATTCTAAGACAGTACCTAAGGGGTTTTCACAGTTGTTGTAACATTATAAACCCCCATCACCAATGTATGAGAAGAAGTCTAGATGCTCCTCATCCTCTCCCATATTGGTGTTGTTAATCTTTTTTTTTTAAAGAAAATCTAGTGGTTATCTCATTAAGGTTTTAATTTGCATTTTCCTGATGACTAAGAGTACCGAGCAACTTTTCATGTGTTTATTTGCCGTTCAGGAGTCCCGGGTGGTGCAAATGGTTAGTGCTGGGTTACTAACCAACAGGTTGATGGTTAAAATCAACCCAGAGATAGATGCCTTGGAAGTAGCGACTGTCGATCTGCTTCTGAAAGATCACAGCCTTGAAAACCCTGTGGAGCAGTTCTGCTCTGCACACTTGGGGTCACCATGAGTTGGAACTGACTCGACAACAAGCAACAACAACATTGGTCATTCACATATCCTCTTTTGTGTAGTATCTGTGTGAATATTTTTCTCTTTTAAAAAATTTTTATTGTTTATTTCTGGAGTTTTTGAATATCTGGATATCTTTTATCTGATATGTATTGCGAATATTTTCTACTAGTCTGTGAATTGCCTTTTCATTTTCTTAATAGTGGTTTTGATGACCAGAAGATTTTGATTTTAATAAAGTTCAATTTATCATTTTTTTATGGTTAGTATTTTCTTAGTTT